CTCGGTGGGTGTCTTGAGGTAAATCCCCAGGACGGACCTGGGCTGGAGTGACCTTTGGTGCGGGCTTATTGGGGTCTCCCAACCACTGAATGCGATGCAATATCAGCGGCTTGCGCACTTGGGTTTGGCCCCCCCGCGCCCCCCGAATGCCGCACACCAAGGGTCATTCTTGCCTGGGGTCACTCTTACGTGTAGCCGACATCCGAGGGTACGCAGAGGGTGGGGTCAGCCCAAGGTGGTGTGCAGGGATCGGGCGACGGGATCTGTGCATATCCAATGCCCCGGGCCTGGGGCAGTGGTCCCGGATATGCAGAGGGTGCGCCGCTCTTAGGGAGCAGACGCCAGTCTGGACATTTTTTGGGGTGGCGACGGGTTTCGGATGGTGGGCCCTCTTCAGGGCCAGCAGCGGCTGCGGGGTAATCCCGCACGCGGGCTGAGCAGCGCGCGGGCAAGGCAGCCATGGACATCGTCGGCCTAGGCTCGATGATCCTCAAGACATTTGTTGGCCCAATGCGTGCTTCCCCCGTTTGGCCCCGCTGGTAGCACGCAGCCCGTGCTGGCCTTCATTAAGTACGCCAGCTGCTCCGCATTGGAGGGCTCCGGTGGACAATCGTAGGTTGGTGCTAACAAACGTTCTCATCATCACCGGTATGTGGAATAGGTGGGCATCCAGGATTTGTCAACCTCGCAGGCGTGAGCCCCATCTATGATCAAGGGCTCCGCCGCCTTCCCCCAACGCTAATGGGATCGCCCCCCCCCGCTGGATGGGTACGCCCGTGAGCCTTGCGAGGACCTCGCGAATGGGATCGCCCTCCCCCTCCCCCCCAGGGGTCGTGGCCCTGTGGGCGTGGCGTGGTGGAGGGAGGAGGTCGTCGTCGTCGTCGCCGACGCAGTCGCCGTCGCCGCCGCCGTCGCCGTCGCCGTCGTCGTCGTCGTCGCCGCCGCCGTCGCCGCCGTCGCCTTCTCCGTCGCCGTCGCCGCCGCCGCCGCCGTCGCCGCCGCCGTCGTCGTCATCGTCGTCGTCGTTTTCCCCCTGTTTAATTTTGGGGGAGGTGACCTGTAGAACCCCGGGGCCCATCCCATCACGGGGGGGGGTCTGTGAACCCTCGACCCGGGATCATGTTTCCCTTTCCCAGGTGCTGTTTGGAGCGATCTTCCTGTGTCCCCCACCTTCTGCACCAATCCCACCCTACAATCAAGACGCTAAAATAAGGGCCACTTCGGGCTCGGGGGGGGCTCTGGATTTTTTCTCTTAGACCCACACCACCCTGGAAAGGCAATGCAACTCGGGCCCCCCAGGCCCCCGATCCCAATGCTGAGTCAGCCGCGGCCGACACCAGTAGACACACCAGATGATCGCGCGGCGCCCCGCGTGACCACTGAGATGGATCGGACGGGGCTAGGACGAGGATAGATTCGTTCCAGCTGGAATGCTCTGAGAAGGCCTTCGGTGCCCGAGACATCCCCCAGATCCGCCCGATCCCAGAGATTCTCGACGTATCCGCACCCGATGTTAACCTCGTCCCAGCCTCGTCTTACTTGAGGAGCGCAGTGAGGCGGACCACGCGCGAGAGCCGCCATCCTTTTCCAGGGCAGTGCGGGTCGGGGAGCTTGTTCGGGGCCGAGGCCCATGTTCGTTCCCTGCCTCAGCGTGCCGTCCCGCGGTGGAAATCTGTTGTCAACCCGCACAGCAAGGATGAGCGACCTTCCAAGGTAAACCCTCGCATACTTGCCCCCTCGGCCCATCCCTGGCCGCCTTCGCTGGCCCCGCCCCCGCTCGCAGAGTGTCGACATGGCCTTCCAAGGCCCTTGCAATTTTACCGCGCGGGTTGACTGTGCCCATATCTACCGCCTTTGGGATCGAACTTCAGGGACCTTGGCAGGCGTTGGGTATGGATAGATTCGGGCCCCCTGGAGCCCGAATACATCCATGCCCAGCGCCCGCTGGGGTCCCAGCACGTCGCATCCCCAGGCGGTGGAGATGGATAAATACCCGCCTCTGACTTATATGGGACCCTGGCGGGCCTCCGCGACGCAACCCGGTCCACAGCTTCCTGGTTTTTGCCGCCCCGGTCGGCTCGGTGTTCGATTCGGCCGACGCCTCCCGCGCGCTCTGGTTTTCGGGCCGTTCCTCAGATCTAGGTCGGGGAACCTATTCGCGGCCGAGCCGCGTCGTGACCAGAAACGCCCCGTCATTCCTTACTTGGCGTTCCTTGTGGCAGCACGACGACTGCAGCGTCCCCCCAGTGGGAGCGCCGCACCCTCCACGACGCGACCAGGTGCAGAGTTTGTTTGTCAGTCCTTTGGCGCGTATCGCTCATTGTGATCCGACCCGATCCTCCTGTTCTCCCCGCCTTGCACGGATGTGCGGCCCGTTGGCCCCCGCTCCGACGTGCCCCACCCCGCCCAAGCGTTACCGATACCCGGGGCCTCAACCCCCTCCCCCGCGGCAGCGACCGTTACCGGAAACACGAAGAAACAACAGTGTCAACGTTTCCGGTTCGGCCGCCTTGGTCGGTTCGGTTCGAATCGGCCGATGCTTCCCGCGCTCCGAATTTAGTCTTCTCCTTGCACGCAGCGGGCATGCAGGGGCGGAGAGGACAACCAAAGACAGTGGCACTTCCACGTGTGCCACGGACGGGTGCTGGGAAGAAGGAATGCTGCACATGTGTGTGTGCAGATTTGCATACATGTTCTCGATCGTAGGTTTGTGGTTTTCGTGAGTTGTCTGCTCTGCTGACCGTTTTGCTCCCCCGAGGTGTTTCTTTCTGCACGTGGGATTCATCCTGTCTGTCCTCCTGCCGCAGCAGTGTTCCCGTAGGTGCTGTACCGAAGCGATCGTCTGTGGGGCCCGACTGGCGAGGGAGTCGGACCGCTTAGGTTAGAACGGCGGAGGAGGAATAGGAGAAGGAGGGGTGCCTTCTGGACCCGTACTTTTCGTTTTCCAGGGTTCGGGTGGGGTCTACCGCAGACACACATTCAGAGGTTAATCCCCTTCCTTCTTCCGCCCCCCTTCTGTCCTGCCTCGTGCATGGTGCTTATTCCTGTGCATGCTGTGCCACTGTGACATTGCTGTCCCCGTGGTCGGGTCCAGTCCAGTTCAGGAAAGCGGGTGTGCATATGTTAGCGGCGGCCGATGAAAGAGTTGTGCGCCAGCCCTGGGCCAGATACACGACGTCGCCGCGATGTTCGGCACACCGCCAGGGACCTCTGCAGCCGAGAGCTAGGCCTGAGCGGCGCGCCTACCGCACGCGCCCGCGCGTGTTCTGCTCCACTACGAGCGCACGGGGGGGGGGCGGCGAAAAAGGCACGCGGCTCGGCGGGCTCCCCACCCTATTCCGATCCAGCCCTCCCCCTCTTCTCCGTGCTCTCCCCTCTGCCTGTTTTCGTTTCCTTTCCTCTGCGTCGGTGAGCGGGGGGGGGGGTGGAGGAGAGGAAAGGGAGGGGGAGGGGGAGGGGGGACGGGGAGGGAGGGGGAGGGGGAGGAGAGGAGGGGGAGGAGGAGGAGAGGAGGAGGGAGGAGGAGGCGGAGGAGGAGGAGGAGGAGGCAGGAGGAGGAGGAGGAGGAGGAGGAGGAGCCTGGGCACGACGAGGGAAACGAGTATCAGGATGAGGATGGAGGAAAGGGAGGAGGGAAAGGAAGGAGGGAGGTGACGGAGAGAGGAGTGTTATGAAGGAAGGGGGAGGTGGAAGGAGAAGGGGCAGGATGGCCTACGTACCCTCTTCCCTCTTCCCGTCTTCTTCTTCTTCTTCGTCCCTCGTCCTTCCAAATTCTATACGCTTCGCGTAACCCCACCAGCGCTTCCCCCAGGTCGCCCCACCCAATTGCAACGTTGCACACTTGCTTGGACGCGCGCCACACGTGCCCCGGGAGGTACAGCCAACTCTGTGCACTTGAGGATAAGCTTGTCCCTCGGTCCTTTTGGCGTACTTCAGGCGGCAGCACCACCACCAGTGCAGCACCCCTCTGGATTCCCCTGCCTCGCTGGCGATGCTCACCACGCCTGCCTGGCCTTCTCCTCTCACCCTGGGCCCGGCGCCGTGCCGCTGCGCACGGGCACGGCTCGCAGTCGTCCTGGTGTCCCTCACGCTCTGCCTGGTGGACTGGCGGGTGTTGAGATCGCCACGGAGTGGTTCAGCCCTTCGCAGCAGCTGCAGCACCCCAGGCTCATCTACCCGCTTCCGGCAGGTTGCGTCGCACCACGTTCCTCGGCAGCACAGCCCCCTTGGCTAGCACACGTCGTTGGGACGGTTGGAGCCTGGCGCCCCACTGGCGACTCGCCCCTTGGGCCTCGCGCCTGCCCCCATTCAGAATGACGGACACGGTTGCTCAGGTACACGTCATGTCACTGTGTGGGTCGTGCCTCACGGCAGGCATCGAATTCCTCGACATTTTGTCCATTGCACGTGCCCGAACTTCCCAGGATGCCCCCCGCCGTCAGCTCCCCCACAGCCTCGCGGCTGCTTTGTGAGTGGGCCGGCCAGTGCGCCTCTTGTAGCTAATTAGGCTTGCCCGTTGGCCCGGACACCCTGCCCGCCGCCTGCCTCTTCGCTGGCGGCCGCGACCGAAAAAGTAACCCCACCAGCCCATCCAGACTCGATGCCCAGGCGAGTTGCCCTGATCTTGAGGATCATGCTCAACAAGAAAAGGCCGGGCAAGTCGCTGTGCCCCAACATGGGGAGGATGGAGCAAATTCATCGGAGCAGGAGGAGGAGGAGGAGGAGGTGGAGGAGAGGGAGGGGGATGGGGGAGGGGGAGGAAGGAGGAGGAGGAGGAGGAACAGGCGGATGAGGAAGAGGAGGGGGATGAGGAGGAGGGGGATGAGGAGGAGGGGGATGATGATGATGATGATGATGATGATGATGATGATGATGATGATGATGATGATGAAATGATGATGATGATGATGATGAGAGGAGGAGGACAGGAGGAGGAAGAGATGAGGAGGAGGAGCACAGGGGGAGAGGAGGAGGGCGAGCAGAAAATTCAGAGGCGTCTTGGATGTCTCTCGGAGTCTCTTCGGATGTTTCTTGAGAGTTTCTTGGGGTTCTATTGGGGCGCCTTGGAGGCCTCTTGGCGGTCCCGGAGATCTCGTGAAGCGTCGTGGGTGCCTCGGGGGAGCCTTCTGGGTCCTCCTGGGGCTCTCTTGGGAGCCTCTTGGGGAACTCTTGGGGCCTCCTGGGGCCTCCTGGGCGCCTCTCGGGGCACCCTTGGGATCCTTTGGGATAATCTTTGGGCGGCGCGCCACGCGTGCCCGGTGCGCCGGGCACCATCGGGCACCCTTGTCGCCCAAGCGTGCCGTGCAGGCCTGGCACCAGGTGCGTCACGCGATCAACATGCGCCATGTGTGCCGCATGCTCCAGCCGCGCTAAGTGCGCCACGTTCGGGGCACGCGCAGAGTGTGCCAGGTGTGCCTGCGCACGTGGCAGTACACATCGGGAAGCGTATCGGCCCCCACCGCCCTTGTCGAAAACCAGTGCGCAATCGCGGCGGGGTGGCCATCATAGCGTCTGGTGGGCCTGCACATAGCAGGCACCCGCCGTCCCAATCAAAAACCAATGCACAGTGATCGCGGGGTGCCCGCGCATGATCCAGATTTTGTCTCGAAGTGACTTTTGTTTTGCTTTTGACCCCTGCGCGCAGCAGGCAATATGCGGGTACCCCCGCCGCCCCTGTCAAAAAACAATAGACAGTGTTCGTGGTCCCCCCGATCATGAGCCAAGATTTTGCCCCAAAGTGGACTTGACATTGTTTTTTAACAGGGATGGTGGGGGGGCGCATTGATCCTGGTTGGCTGCCAGTCGCCTCGGAAATGGGGTGTTTATGAACAGGGAACTGTGATAAGCCCCTCCCCGAAGGGGAAGAAGGGGGGTTGGAAGAGAACTCCCTAAACCACTCATGCCTTGACGGGCTGGTGGGATTCTTCCTGAGCGCTTGGCGACTTTTCGCCAATCGATTGGTGGGGTTTTGAGCCAGATAAATCAAGGCCAATGCAGATTCATCGAGGTAAATCCAAGTATGTCGTGGCAAATCCAAGTGAATCCAGCGATCTCCAGGGGAATCTGGAGCAACCTGTGGTCTCTCCAGCGCGCGTCGAGGGACGGCAGAAGCCGTTAAGCCCTCAACGAGATTCCCTCCGTCTTCCCACCCTTCCCCTTGCCTTCCCCCCCCTTGGTCTCGTGCAGTTCCTGAGGCATGCTGACCACGAGGTGGACAACACGAACTGGATGGAAATGGCAAAAGACAACTCTCGGGGCTGACTCTGAGGACGAGTTCGTCCCTACAGTCAACCCGCCTAGTATGAATGAGCGACTTTCCTAGGCAAACCCTTGCATCCTTGCCCCGTCGGCCCATCCCTGGCCGCTCTAGCTGGCCGCGCCCCGCCCGCAGAGTGTCGACATGGCCTTCCAAGGCCCTTGCTGCTTTCTTATCGTGCGTCCTTATTCTACCGGTTGACTGTACCCATAACAACCGCCTAGGGGATCGAACTTCAGGGACCTCGGCGGGCGGTGGTCATGGTCATACTCGGGCCCCCCGGGCCCGAATACATCTATGACCGCCGCCCTCTGGTGGGAGGAGGAGGGGGAGGAGGAGGAGGACGGGGAAGGAAGAGGAGGAGGAGGAGGAGGAGGAGGAGGAGCAGGGAGGGATGAGGAGCGAGGGGAAGTGCCCTTGGGCCCCTGGGGGGAGGGCCGCACCTTTTCGGGCCTCTGTAGGAGAGTGCCGAAAAACACACCTCGCGCCGTCTCAGAAGGCACGACGGAATGGGTTGCTTTGTGTCGATCTCGGCGTCCGGGGCTCTTGCCAGGCCCTGGGGGCCTTTGAGAAGCCAACCCGGGATGAAGCGTCTGCACCTTTGACCCTTCGCCGAAGTGATCTTTGGTGCTGGCCCAAGGGTCTGGTCATTTTGAGCTATACAGTCAACCCACATGGCAAGGATGAGCGACAGTCCAAGGATACCCTTGCATCCGTCCCCTTCGGCGCATCCTTGGCCGCTTTCGCTGGCACCGCTTCGCTCGCAAAGTGTTCACATGGCCCTCCGAGGCCCTTGGCACCCTTCCCGCGCATCCTTGCTCTACTCGTACGGGTTGAGTGCAGAATGCCGCGCGCCAGAGGTAACTCCAGGCTGGGGCCACTCCTGCGCGCAGCCGGATGGCGACTCGGCCCCGGCAGAGGGGCCCAGACCCCCAGGGGACCACGCTACGCACACACGGCACGACGCCAGCCCCCCGAGAGCGTTCCAAAGGAACCTTTCCCCTGTGTGCTGCCCACTTCCCAGGTCGAGGCGACTCCTCTGGGCATCGTCTCTGGATGGGCTGGTGGGGTTACTTCTTTGGCTCCAGGACGAAGGTCAAGAAGCGGGGCAACTTTCGGGGCGCAGAACGAAGATAATTGGCCGCAGTGGCGTGTGCACATGCCAGGGACAAAATTCCCCTCATTAAGAGGTGACCGGCTCAGACATCCCAGCAGGTGGGGACGCAGAGGCGCGGCGACCGGGG